TAGTCCCGAGCGGGCAAGATAGCTCCATCTTGCCCGCTCGGGTAGCCAATCACAGCGCAGGATTTGATTCATCTTGCCTGCTCATGGAGCTAGTCATATAATAATATCGGCTTAATACCTTAAAGGGCATGGCAAAAACCCCCGCTGTGGATTGTTTGAGGTTGAACACCCCACGAGGCACCAAAACCACTCTTTAACCTCTAAAAGGTACGAGGAGCACCCCCGCCTTTCTCAACATCTTTGTGTGAAATCAAAGCAGCGATGCTCTGTTTACACTTCGTTTTACAAAACAGCATGGGTGCAGGAAAAGTTAGCAAAACTTAAGAATATGCATGTGTACTTAGGNCCCCCCCCCACGGGGATAATAGTTAAACACCTGTCCATGGTACACCAGAGGGGAAGAGACTACGGAGAAGGCCAGGAGTAACTTGGAGATGGTCGGACCTGGAATGAAATTTGAAACTGGCACAAGACCGCTCTCGCTGGAGCCTGGAGAGAAACTGTGAAAGCCTTATATGTCCCATGGCGCGACAACGATTTCTTGGCGTCGATTGATGGTGGACAAAAGAAATTAAACCTAGAATTCTGTTGTTAACTACTGGATCAGAAGAGGTCAAAGCCCACGTAAATTCATTGGTATTGTCTTTATATAATTTTGGAAAAGGCTTTTATGATCCTTTATCGGTGATGCCGCTCGAGCTTAGTGCAATGCAACCCACGTGATGTGCCTTAACCGACAAAAACTGGGTCGAGACGTAGTCCCGCTGTTTTCCGACCGTTTCCCGCCATTTTTATCGGGCTTCCGAGAACGGAGTTTAGGATCGGCAGCTCTCGTCTTTGTTTTTCATTGGATCCGCAACAAACTACACTGACAGTGACGAAAATACTCTTAGTTGAAAAATCCGTTAGCTGTTGTAACTGTATTAGTGGTGGGTTTATCGCATTTTAAATCCTGGTTTGTTCCGTTTCCGTTCGGAATTGTCGCTAACAGGATTGTTATCAAGGTATTGAAGTCTGAGGTAAGTTATGTCTGAAGAGTTCATGATAGCATCTTAGCCTACATTCGACTGAAGAATTACGTGTTGGCCATTCATAGCCAGCTCATGGTGGTGTTTTGATGAGAGTAAACTCTTTAGAAGCCATTGAACTTTTCAAGACGTCCCTAACGATATTTCATGGTCGATTGTTCGAGAACAGATCTAAATAGAGATCAACATAATGATTTGTATCAAGCACGCTTTGATGTATTGACGATGTAGTTTATATAAGCTTACGCTTAAATTATTACAACGTAATCAAACACAAACTACGTATTGGCTTCCTAAGCTTTCTTGTACAATCCTACCCATTTGTAATTAATAGGACGTATAGTACAGTTTGTTGTGATAGAAGTGAGAGGGTGTTAATTAAAATGCACAGCTTGTGAAGCTTGTACATGTACAAATGATATGAACAGTGTCAGGTGTTGAGATTTAAGCTTACAGTTGTTTTCTTCCTAAATTATTTGCCCTTTGAGGTGACTTACAAGCTTTAGATAATCAGCTGGTTTACACTGGAGTGTTTGGCACGGCTTTTTGTAGGATTTTAATCTTTAAAAACCCTCAGAAGCATAACTTTGGACTTGTTGTGGACTCGTTAGGCAGGCCATTCCATCATACATTTATGTCAACTGGTGCTTTTTCAGTCGGTGTAATTCACCATCATCAAATCATATCAATGACAGAAATTATTTTGTGATTGTTTCACCTCAGGTGTTTTATACAAATATGAACTGACCACTCAGTTCAGAAATCATGTAATTGGGGCAAGTGATTACAACCACACTCATTCAGTCCTTTTGGAAGCATGCTAGTGTACTCCCATAACAAATAACAAAGCTAAGAGCTGAACATGATGTAATACCACTGTTTATACAGTCTTGTCAACAAATTATTGTGGTTTGAAAATAAACATAAACCTTTACTTTTTTAATAAAGTGATGAGTTTGCTTTGCATGTAATATTACTGCCCTTAAGCCTTTTGCACGGTCAGGTTAGTGGCCAGCTTAGCAGAATTTAACTATGTCATGTCTTCTTAGTTCATGGCGAGAAAGGTCGCAGGAATAGTTTTTAGCCCTGTACAATAAGATTTTTGTAACTGAAACACGTATGATCATCACATTTATGTACACAACTTTTTAATGTGATCTTCATATATTCATTTGTTGTTGTGTTGTTAAATAAAAATGGAACCATGTTTCATTTACAGATTTTTGTCTTGAGGAAGGTAACTGACTGAAGTTACTCTTGGCATGGATGGTAAGTAATAAACTGCATGATGATAAGCAAAGTAATGAGTAATTTACCCGTCTTGCCTTAAGTCACCTTACGGTAGACCTTCAAGGGTCCAAAATTATTATTTCACACCAAATTCAAGACTTATCTGAATTTTCCAAAAAAAAGTATTTTAAAAACTTAAAATGTGAACAAGTTATCCACAAAAGAGTAAATTTTTAAAACGATTCAATAAACCTCAAACAATGATAAGCCAATTAAAATGTGTCAACCCTTTAGTTGAGCAGTGACAATTTTTGCGGCAACTGATCTCATCCGCGGAGTCATATTTCGCTTCTTTTGTTTATCCCTTACGTCTTGCAATTTCTCACACAGAAATCTTTGCTTTTGTTGATTATATAGGCTGATACAATACATGAATTTATTTACATAGAGTTAGATCTTGGACAAAGAAAGAACCTTGTTTAATTGAATAATATTTAGCCTTATACAAAGGGTATTCTTTAATACATGATTTTTATTTCATGTCATAATTTATGCCAACCAAGTGAGCCACAGAGTAAAGAAAAGCCCACCAATAAACTTGTGTGGACAAAATTAAAGGCAGAGCTTATTTATTGTTAGAATTTCAAAGTAAATAATTTATGTACTAAAATAACAACTTTAAGTACTTTTAATTGAATCTTTAGTTTGAGAACTACCACAAATATAAATTAGTTAACATAACCAATGTATGAATTTTTGTTTCAGAGTTTGTAGAATGTGGCGCCAGCATTCCATCTGGTACCTTAAAAGAGAAAATCTTGGCTCTTTTAGTGTCTAACAAGAGGTCTGTGAAAGTTCTTGCAAACGTGCTGCAGATCGACCCAGTTCACGAGCTTGTAAGCAGTTATGAAGAATGCCATGGACAAGTGTCTTTAGATACATGGAAGTATGTTCTTCAACAGCTTGGATACTCTAAAGAACATTTTCAGCAACTTATGCTTGCTGATCAGATGATAGCTGATACCACAGATATAGTAGGCTGCATAGATGACTTAGAAGGGAATAACTGTGATGCACAGAGCATTCCAAGGGATTGGCCAGAATGGAGCTTGCCTCCTCCAGATGAAAGCTTGTTAAAGGAAAATATAGTGGAGGATGCTGCTAAAGGTGAGGATGATCAGGATTCTTCCATGCAGGCAGCTGCAGAAAAAGGCCCCTCACTTGAGAACAATACACTTTCATCAACTGTCCAGTCATTGTCTCAAGGGAATAGCTCAACACTTGGTCTTGTTCCTGTAGCTGAGAATGGAAGAAGTCAGCATGAGAATTCTCCTCTGGCTGTGATAGAGGGAAGAGAAGAAAACCTTGAAGCATCAAGTGTACAAGCAGACTACAAGCAGCAGGCAATTGATAAAACAGCAACACCTTCAAGACCGACTACGCCAGAAGCAGCACGTTCCACACATGACCCAGTTGTGACAGGTCAAAAAAGATCACACCAGAATAATGCTGCTGCTGAGGCTCATCCTCTAGGGAATGGTGAACGAGATTTGGAGTGCAGTAATCAAGAAAGTGGCAACCCTTACAAGACTCCTACGGAAAATGATTGTATAGCTGAAAATGATTGGACAGAGAACAACAATGGTCTCTATGCTGAATTACAAAAGGTAGTTAATATGTAATGTGAACATTTTAAATTGCATAATTAGTGACATACATTGTATAAAGGACAAAGAAGAATATAACCCAAAAAAGAGAATCCAACCTAAAAAATACTGAAATCTGGGAGATTACCAATTTTACTTTCTCAACCCTAAAAAGCGCTGTAAATAAATTAAAGTAGTTGTGAGATCTTCTGATTCAGCCACAGTATTCCAAAATGCTCCTGTGAAAAAGGCCAAAAATTCAGCCAAAATAAGTGCTTTCCTTTGAATCCAGGAGATTTGGTGATCCGTATGGGAGACTGAGAGATTCGGTCCATACCCTGGAGACTCCCGCATAATCTGGGAGAGTTGGGATAGATGCAAGTGCCCAATTATTGTGTGCCTGGTCTGGCCCAATTTATTACATGTATGTATAACCTGGCAATGTTGATTAATAGTTTTCTTTTGAAAGTGTCCCAGATCTAGAGCTAAATGTATTTGAACCTGTATGGTTGCTGAATTTTTCCCCAGTGGGTCCCTTATGAAAAGGACAAGGGTTTTCGTCATACCTGTTAGAGGTGAAAAATGCAGTGTTGGTACCTCTTGGTGTGTTCAGCCTCCAAAGGTCCACGGCAGGACCTTTTGCAGTACCTTTTAGAGTATTGAGCTGAAAAAAATATGACATGAGATAATGTGTTGTTTTAGAATTGGAGCCTCTTAGAGGTGAAATTCATTTCAAGCCATGCCCACAAAACAGGATCTTGGTACCTCTTAGGCATTCTTTTAAAATTTTCCAACGAGCCCCTCTGTCCTTTTTATATGGGAGATCTCCCCCCCCCCCCCCCCCCCCCTCTGGGGGAAGTTGTCAATGACCAATCTGCAGCATTAAAACATATATAGGTACAGTTCAGTATCTATTAATTGGTACATGTCTTGTTTTGCCATGCAGGCAAATGAGTCTTCACAGCTAAGTGTTTCCTACTTGGTTGAGGTAAGTGAAGACAATTTTGTATAATTTGTTGATCTGACAATAACTCTAATTAAATGATGGTCAAAGATCAAGAAATATGATAACAGTTGTAACAGTTGGTCATGTTAATTTATGAGAAAGTGCCAATTATATACATGTTGGAGGGCTCCTGTTGGTTTAAATCTGCCTAATAAAACATCTGTTTAAGGTGGCTCGATTGGATTTTTCAATAGTGACACCTTCCAACTTTAAATATAAATCACAACACACTAAAACATAATACAGGAGATTGATATCCACACTCTTGCTAGGGATAGACCAAAGTTTTGGGTGCGGTGTATTTTATCGAGATACCAGAGTTACCATAGCAACGCAATGATGTCATTGCTGTTTTTACCCATGGTTGATTTTCTTGAAATCTAGAGGTTTTCTTCTAAACTGTCTACTGTACTTGCAGTTTAGATAGTGTGCCTGATGTGTAGCAAGTTTAAACAAATTCTATGAGAGCCATTTCGAGAAATCTTTTGCTGAAGTTTTCGACTGTTAACATGAAACAAATCTAATGGAGTCACTCTAGTATATGTTTGCCGGGCTTATGGAAAGCACATTTGGAGTGCATGTTACATGCATTTTTATACACATGAACCACATTTCCTGAAAAGTGGAACAAAATTGCTTCATTTGATTTTGAAAAGTATGAACTTGAATAAGGTGGCTATTTCGTTTTTTTTTTTTGCCAAAACTTGGCTATGTTTTTACACTGAAGTGAATATTAAAAAAAGCGGTTGATGAATTTCTTTTAAACTTTGCACTCAATGAGATTAATTCATATTCAATGTAATCCCAGAGTTTCAAATGAAATGAAATATTTTAAGGCTGCTATTTTTCAGTGTCAACCCAGGAAAATATTCCTCTGATTTTCACTCATGTTGTTTGTAGTCTTCATTATAATGCTCTTTTGTCTCGAATCACCATTCTATTGTACATTTCTGTATACCATGAATGAATCTGTAAAACATGCGATTGCTTTCCGGCCATTTTCCTGAAGTGTGCTAAAAAATATATGTCACACTTTCACTCATCTCGCGTTAATGCTGCCACGCCAAGGGTAAGCGGTGAGTGCAAGCAGGAAATCGCTATGCTGGATGTCTTGTTTACATTTAACATAAACGTAAACAAGATGTATATTTTATTGTTATTGTAGTGATAGCTCGGGATAGTTTAGCATGCTTCAGAAAAGTGCCGGAAAGGAAATCGCTTGTTTTATGAATTAGAATTATTTCAAAAATGGCATGGTGAAACTTTTTTATTTTATCAATTTTTGATCAGCAGAATAAGACACAACCTTCGGCAAAGTTTAAAACAATTCTGTATGTAGGGTTCTGAGCCACCTTAAATTTTCAAAACCTTAAGGTGGCTCTGAACTCCATGTTCATATTTTTTGAAACTTTACCAAAGCTGCGTCTTATCCTGCTAATCAAAATTTGATAATATTAAAATATTTCACTGGGCCGTTTTTGAATAATAAGCCCTTAAAGCTATAATTAAGGGTGTTTTTAGTAGGTCATACTGTTGCTATAGTAACCTATTGTGTTAGGAAAATGATAACAATGTTTTCACCAATGATTGGGCAGCTTTATGACACCAAGATTGTGGCATCAATTGATAAAGAGTGGTTATAATGACCAATTAAAATCTAAGTCTTAGAAAGTAATGGAAACTGTTTTGAGTCACCTTAAGTCACATGCGATCTGTGATGTCATACTGTGTGTGTAAATTAAGAGTAAAACTTGTTTGAAGCCTACAGTGTATTTCTGTACAACTGTTGAGCTCTGTTATGAAACAAATAAGCTAGACTTGACCTGCTTTGTTGGCTTGTTTGGTTTTTTTTTTCATAACTAAAAGTACTCTTTACACCAAAGTGACCAGAACACTAAAGAAGTACGGAGAAATGCTCACCTGCAGCTTATGTTTCACTTTAACTGGAGTCCTCTTTTGTGCTCTTGTCAATCCTTGTGTACTTGTGTACAATTAAATTAAAGCAGGGTCAAGCCATTTTTAAGAGTTAGTCAACCTTAGAATGTTCAAAGCCAAACTGGGTTATTGATCATTGTAAATTAATGTAAATTAACTTGCAAATCATTCATCCTGGTGGCTCTTTAATGTGATTGTACATAGAAAGTTCATACTTTGTTATTTAAATAAAGTTAGAATAAATTTCTTTTTTTTTCAGGAATTACGAAAGAAGGATTTAGTCTGTGCTTGGCGACAGAACAAGTGCAACAGTCTGCAACAACAATTAGAGGTACATGTATGTCATTGTAAGCTGTAAACAAGTCTTGAGTTTACAAAATTATACATCATAGCTTAAAGTTAGTCTCGAGGATTTTACATTATCAATCATTGCATAGATATATGAGTCTAAATCCCACACAATAGACACGACCATGATCATTGGATTTGGTTTAAACTAAAGTTCTGATCCATCCTTTTTCAGGAATGTAGAGGTCAATGTACTCAACTACAGATCATCAATGAAGGGGTAAAGATCTATAAGAAGAAGAGAGTTTAGTTGGTAACATGTAATATGTAACATCTTTCATGTTGTTTTATACAGTTGTAGCACAATTAATTTTGATATTTTTCAGTGTTAAATCATTACTTGATTTAAGCAGCCTTTATCTCTTTTTGTCTTGATTTAACCCCACCCCTTCCCCCTTATATGTCATGACTTGATTTGAAAAGTTCCTTAAATGATTAAGTATTGATATGTTTAGTTCAAAAGACGTTTAGAGGAAAGTGGGGAATTGGAAATTGAAAGTCAACGATTGATCAGAATGACTCAACAGGTGAGGATTGTCCTTTATAATAATTATCAGTTTAAAATCAGTGGTTTGATGGGATTTTAAGTTAAACTACATGACTGTATATAATCTGAAACTGACTTAAACAGGTCAACTTTTCTGAAGAAGTTGAAAAGTATGTCACTGTGAATTCACTCATAATACAGTACCGATCAGAAGAACCCTAACAGGGAACACTTGACCGAATGCATTCTGTTTCCGTTCCACACGCGTTCCCGTACCCGTTCTGTATCCGTTCCGTATCCGTTCGCAAACGCGTTCCCTGTTAGGTTTCTTCTGAGCGGTACTGTATATAACACTAATGCATCATTGCTCACATAAAATACTTGTAATTAGAAAAAAGAATGCCTATTGTTTCCTTGATTTGAAATTCTATTATTAGTTCCCCACTCAAGAGTTTACAAATATGTGAAAGCACTATCAATTAATTTATTTGGCAATCTCTTGTCCAGTGAAAAATGCAGTTGTACTGCTTACTTGATCCTTGGTTTCTAGTAAAAAGAACAGAATGGCTGTACAGGCAATGAGATGTAATAATGTTTTTTCCTTTTTCTTGTTGTATGTGTGAACTTTGCAGGTCTGCATTTGGAGAGAACAGGAGAATAACAGGCTGGAAGAGGTAGATTCATTGATTTGTAATTAAGTAGACATTTTTAGCTAATAAAATAAATTGAGTTAGAATAAAATACAATATTATTGTATGCAAAAACACAAGCGTGCAAAAAACTAACACTGCTTGCACAAACTGATCATGCCACTTGTCATGTGACAAGAAGAGGCTGTACACTACTTAACAGGAGCTGAACATTAAACCAGCGTTTGTAGTAAGTAATGAGGACTGTGATCAAAAGACTTTACTTCATTCCAAAGCAGGTGGTGTCCAGTGTTTTGAGAGTGCTGAAACAGTGGAGGTCTGGGTGTAGACATTCGCCAATGCATATCAAATACTTGATCTTCTAGGCTAACTGAATTGAAAATTGCTTGATGTTCTTCATTCATGCATGATTGGTGAAGTATGTGATGAGCTGAGTTCTGATAGCAATAACTGGCATGTATATTTCCTTATTGGTCATGGCATTCTGTTTCTTCTTGTTATTATTATTATTATTATTATTATTATTATTATTATTATTATTAAAGATTCGCACAGCTATTGATGATGATGATGATGATGATGATGAAGATTATTATTATTATTTACAAGGTCCTAATAAGTCACATGTAATATCTCTGTTTAGCACATCCGGCAGCTGGATGAAAGACATGACAATGCTAACCGCTTCATGGAAGATCTAAGGAGAGAAAATCAGGAGTTGTCTGAGGTTTGTGATGATATCAGATGTGATTGCTTAATTAACCTTAAACTGAAAATCTGAAGAAACGTCAGTGAAAATTGAAATTGTAATGCTGGCGATTATAATACCATTGAAGGCTGGAAGAAGCATTTCGGGTGATCTCAACGGTGTTTTTCCTTTAAATGACGAAGGCTAAAACTGTTTGTAAGGGGCTGGTAGAAGCTGGTACATGAACTTGTATCTGACAGTTTGTATTTATTTGGTCAGGGGAATTTTATTTTTATCAGGGAAAAGTCAGGGAATTTTGAAAAGTAACATCTGGTGGTCAATACAGTGTTAAACTTATGACTGAGTACCTTCGCTTGTATTCAAAATGTTATCACAATACTAATATATGGTGCTGAAAGAAGAAGCAAATTGTAATAAAGTCTTTAAGACACAACAAAACGTCATGCGGCGAGATTATCGTGTTGGCTCAAAATTAAGCTTATAGAATGCGATTCTTTCAGGAACTACGGTTAGCCTTTAATCAGATGTGGGATTTGCAAGGACGTGACCACAATTTGGAAAGGGAACACGAGCGGTTACGATTACAATATGAAGAGAGAGTGGCTGAAGCAGCTCGAGCTTTTAACAATGTTGAGACAGATAAAGTCAAAAGGCTGAAGCAGAAGTTAGCTCAGGAGAAAAGTAGAAGAAAAACCCTTCTTGAGGTGAGATGTTAGACTTGCTGTCAACTTTAATCTGTTTTGTTGTTTCATGTCTACAAAAAGCTTGCCAGAATGGTACAGGACAACTCTTTACTGCCTTGATCAAACAGTATAATCTTTTAATCTTATAGTTCTGTAACTAAAATGAATGTTACTTATAATTGCTTGTGTGATCAATCATTTAGGAAAACCATCGGCTAACCGCATTGGTTAAAGAGTTGAGATCCAAGGAGGAGGGTCATTTTCCTTCTGGTGGCTCAGGTGAAGATGACGCGGGAGACAATCCCGAACCCAGCACCACTGTAAGTGATAATCTTGTTTTGTTTATAAGAGCATCATAAGGGTGAACATGTACTTGTACCTCTTTTGGCGGATCTTGCTTATCCCACAGTATGGCAGAGAGAAGCTGCCAAATCGCAAGACTTACCTGTACGTGGATTTTTCTGGCGATAGCTGTTGTCAGAATATTTGATTCCAATACAGTTTTGTTCCAAAAGCAAATATTTAGTTACTAATTACAGGTATGTTTGTGTGTTGAATTGTGTGTTGATGTGTTAAGGTCTATAGATAATAAAGAAGTAGGACCCGTTTCTCGAAAGCCCCGGAATCTTTTCGGGGCCCGAAAAGCCATTTTTAGTTAATCGGTATTTAAAGACAGAGGTGTATACGCCTGAAACTTCTTGTATGAAGGGAACCTCTGTTCGTATTAAGAATATATGAATAAAACAGCTCGGTAGTCAAAAGGTTTGAGATTTTGCTACGGCTTTTCCGGTGCGAAAACTTTTCGGGACCTTCGAGAAACGGGCCCCAGGCCAGTATCCAGCCGTCAGATCTTGATCCAACAAAGTTGGCCTTTGAAGGATTATAATGACATAGTAAAAGAACTCTGTGTTTCTTGTGGGACAAGACAGGCAAGATAACCCCTGGCTCGTAAGGGTTAAGCCTTCTCCGCTTCCTGAGCTAGCCATATCGTAGTGACTGTATTTCCCCTGGTCTAATTTTTAGGCTTCAAGTGAAGTAGAGGATGATGAACAATCAGGATCATCAAACCACACCCAACAATCAGGTAAAGTCTACTTGACATCAATAGCGCCAGTAATGTTGTAGTACTTTACTTATCACTGAAGTAGATCAGGTGCATGTTTTGAAAGAAAATTCAATTCAAAAATACATTGACGGTAGAGATTAAAATGGGTTTTTTTCTATCCGTTTTGGTAGATTCTGATAGTTCCAGTGAAGATGACCGTTTAGAGGACGCATCTACAGATGCTACTGCAAGTTAAAGATGGAATGAAAGACCTAATGTTCTCTTTTTCGTAATCAGTGGTTAACGATAATCAGAACACCAAGAGAAAAATGAAGTGTAATATATACCTTTGTGATTTCGAGTTTTGGTACTTGTTTGTACTGTAAATGTATTGTAAATCAAAATGTAATATATCGTTGCTGATTCAAGTGAATCAGCAACGATATATCATAAGGATTTTGAAACAAGTGGTAGCTGCAATATTTGAGTGTGGGTAATTTTATTGGTATACATGTAGCATGTAGTTTTTTGATTTTGAATTCTTAAATGCCTTTAGGGTTCATGTAGCTGTGCTAACGCAACTGCTAGTACTTTTTATAGATAGGTTATATAAAGAATTCAATTTAAAGATGTGCAAATTTTAAACATGTATATAATTTATTAAGAGTTATACAGGTGAAAGTTGTCGATTTTTATTGTAATGTATTACTGGGTTTGTATAATTAATCTTTGTACTTATTCTCCTGAGTATTTACAATTTTTTAAGACACATGGAATGCTTAGATTGCAAAGTTAATGAATGATATCTTACGCAGACCATGTTGGTTGAATGTTTGCGTTCATCCTTTCTTATTTAACGAAGGAAAGTGAAAAAACAACGAATGTCGCAGACAAGAATGCATGTTTTTACAATGTTTTAATCCCTGAATTGCTTTTTTTAAGTCAGAGAAACAATTCAGAGATCTCGTAATTTATTGATAATCAATTTTGGTGAAGATACGCGTAATTGTATTTTATCAATGTCACTTTTATCGTCAGTTTGAAGAGTAAGTGATGTATATAGAACAAAACGAGAATTATTGTTTGGGTCAATGAATTCTTCACTATATTTGCAATTTCAGTGCATAGAATTCATATATAGCCATTCTTTAAATTATAACTTTTCTTCATTCTCGAATTTTAGTGCATATAAAGTGAATATCAGTTTTTGGAATTGCATGTATCAGCAGTATCTCCATCTGGCTGGCTTGATTTCCGTATGATCGCTGGCGATTATTCGGTGCTTGGCTTACTTTAGTCTCGTAATCAGCTGTTATTCGAGTCGTCCCAGGATGCGTTGGTTGTATCGTCATGCAATGCCATGCGTGAAGAAGCCAAGGCCAACTTGCACCTCGTTTCGTCCTTTCGGTGACTTGCCGGACAGATGGAAACTAGCTGTTTATAGTATGAGATTCTGTATTGTCCCATTTATATTGATTATTTGTACAGAAAGAGGTAAATTATTGACAGAGTTTGTAAGTATTATATATGCATTAGCTGAATGTATTAATTATAATTTAAAAAAATATAAAAAGTTGAGAGACCAAATACCTTTTGAAAGCTAGTTTTAAAGTAATCCATTCGCAGTAAACCGATAATGACTGGGATCATCGTATCCCAGTCAACACGTATTCCTCCTCTCCAGTTTATCCAGTTTTAACTATTATTAAAATCGAATTGTGATCATAATCTACACGAACACTATCGCCGGGAAATCCGATGTGTGGCGCCGACCCAACTGTATTACATGAAAAAGGTATTGGTGAACTCTCAACTGTACTCTTTTTTGTTATTTAAAAGAGTAACTGTCTAAACAGATATTTATAGTAATAATAAGGATATTTTTTTATCTGTAACTGTGCTTGTCCTAGCTAGACTTTAAAGATGGCTGTTATTTGGTATGTTTTGTTTTAAACATTAAACTACATGGGTATCTTTCCTAGCTTTTTGCGGTTTTATTGAGACATTTGTTAATGACCACGGATTGACTAACGGAAATTTACGAACTAGTCTGTAAATTGCTTCATTCTGATTGGCTGCGAGGAATCTAATTTACTCTTCATCTTCTATCACATCCCCAATCGTCTTTTGAGGCGGCGACAGCCGAGGGAACCTGGATGAAACTCCTTGGGGACGTGAATGGGATCATGGGAAGGAAGACAAGAGGAGTCTACTTCTGATCTCATCTATTGTAATTGAAGACGTCTTTGTGCGGCCAGAGATCTCAATGTTGAGTTTAGGGACCGTTCATTTTTTATGAGGGGGGGGGGG